AACTTTATATGGGAAGGAAGGAGAATCCTGATAAGCAAAGCACTACTAAAGAATAACAAAATAGGAAGCCTCAGACTCCCCAGTCTCAAAACCTGTATATATTGTTGTTGTTGTTGTTGTTATGTGCCGTCGAGTCAAACCTGACTCATAGTGACCCCTCCTTGGGTTTCCGAGCTAGTATCACTACGGAAGTAGGATTGCCCAACCTTCATTCCAAGGAGTGGCTGGTGGGTTTGAACCGCCAGCCGTCTCGTTAGCAGGCAAGTGTCTTAGGCAAGTGCCAGAGCTCCCTGCATATATTATACAGTATATAAAACACTGTATAGCCATAGTAGTCAGAAGTACTTGGTACTGGTCTAACAACAGACAACACAGATTAGTAGAGCAGAACTGAAAATCCAGAAGTAAATTCACCTACCTGTGGACAGCTGAGATTTGACAAAAGGCCTAAGCCCATCAAAATGGGGCAGGTACAGAGGGAGATAGTCCCTCTACAAACAATGCTGGCCAAACTAGATATTCCTTTGCAGGAAAGTGAAACAGGATCTATATCTCACACCATATACAAAAGCTAAAGATATATTAAAGATCTTAAATGTAAAACCTGAAACTATAAAAATCATCAAAGAAAAAATAGGGCAAATGTAGTGGCCCTAATACTTGGCATAATTACATTATCAAACATAACTAACAACACACAGACAGTGGAAGACAGATTAGATGACTGGGACCTCCTAAAAATTAAACATTTATAGACATCAAAAGACTTCTTCACCAAAAGAGTATAAAGAAAACCTAGACTGTAGGAGAAAATTTTTTTTTCCACATAAAATACCAGAAAAGGGATTCTGTAATTTGATAACATTTATAGAAAATGTCCACACTTGAACAGCAAAAAGTCAAAAAATCCAATTCAAAAATGGGCAGAATATCTTTGTTGGCTATAGGGAGGGGAGGGAAAATTGCTCATTAGTTAAGAGACAGGTGTTACTTTGGGTGAAGAGAAAAGCAATGTAATAAGTGTGTATCCAGCACAATAATAAAGGAAGACATGGAGAGTTGAACAAGAGATAACAAACAATAAAGGTAAATACTATTTACCTTTAAGGTAAATACTATTTACCTTTAAGCACTTTGAGAGAATGCTTCACTGGGCCTGCAAAAAAAAAAGATGGCAAGGGAAATGAACAGACACTTCACCAAAGAAGACATTCAAGCAGCTGAAAAACACATGAAGAAATGCTTGTGATCATTAGCCATTGGAGAGATGCAAGTCAAAACAACAATGAAATATCTCTCCCCAGCCATAATAGCAAAGTTCTAAAAAAAGAGCAAACAGCAAATACTGGCAAGGATGTGGAGAGAGTGGAACCCTCACACACTTCTGTTGGAGCTCTAGAATGGTCCAACCATTGTGTAAAGCATTATGGCACTTCCTTAAGAAGTTGAAATAGAAGTACCATATGATCAAATAATCCCACTATTAGGTGTATATCCTAGAGAAATAAGATGTTACACAAACAAATACATGCACACACATGTTCATTGCAGCATTATTCACAATAGCAAAAAGATGGAAACAACCCACGTGCCCATCTGCAGATGAATAGATAAACTGTGGTACATGCACACAGTGGAATACTACACAGTGTTAAAGAATGATGAACATGCAAAACACCTCACAACATGGATGAACCCTTCTAGAAGATATTATGTTGAGTGAAATTAGTTAATCACAAAAGGATAAATATTGTATGAGACTTGTACTGTCAGAAGTCAAGAGGTTTATACACAGCAAGAATCATTCTTTTTTATGTTACCAGGGGTGGGCGAATAAGGGAGAGTAAATCATTAACTAGAGGGTAGACAGGTATTAACTTGGATGAAGGGAAAAGCAATATACAGTAATGGAGAAATCAACATAAAATGTTCAAAGCAGTGGAATACAGAGAGAGGAGCACAAAGTTAAATGGAACAAAGATGAATACTATTACATACCTAATTCCACAGTAAAAGTAATAAAGATAATCTACAGTAATACATAGACACTCAAGCTGAACAGGTTGGGAAGGTTAATGGAACTAAAACCAAGAATATGTGTAGGTTTGACAGGCTATTTCTACTTATGTATTTATATGTGTTACAAATATATCCATGAATATAGTAGACATTCAGGGCAGAAAATAATGACAACTTCTTAGTCATAAACAAACACCTTGAGTGAATGAGTTGCTGAGCCTGGGGCTTCAGGACCATAATCTCAAGGGACATCAGGGTCAGTTGGCATAACTTACTCTACAAAGACATTGTTCAGGGTCTTAAAAGTTAGTGAGCAGCCATCTAAGGTGCAGCTATTGATCTCTCCCCATCTGGAGCAAAAAAGGGTTGAAGAAAATCAAAGACACATTGAAACAATTAATCTAAAGAAGTAATGGTCCATGTGAACCCCAGCCTCCACCACCCTGAGACTGGAAGAAATAGATGATGCCAGGCTATCATTGTTGACCTTTCAGAAAGGCATCATGGTAAGAGATCCCTAATGAGTGGGAGAAAAATGTGGAACAAAACTCAAAATCTTAAAAAAGACCAGGTTCACTGGTCTAATGAAGACTGGTAGAACCCTTGAGACTTTGAGCCTTAGATACCCTTTAAACTGGGAACTGAATTCAATCCCATGACTCAACTTTCAGCCAGATGGTGGGTTTATAAGGTGAACAACAATACCAGAAAGGTATGTACCTATTAATACAATCAACCATATGAGATCATACGGGCAGCATTTGCCCAGGAATAAAGCTAAGAAGGCAAAAAGAGTTAGGAAAGAAAGAATAAGGGAAATGGTAAACCCAGGGAGTAAGTCCAAAGAGTATTATATTGTGTGGATTGCATTGAATGTCACCAGAGAAAATGTGTATGAATTGTTGAATGGAAAACCAGTTTGCTCTGTAAACTTTTACCCAAATCAAATTTAAACAACAAAAAGGAAAAAGAGAAAGGAGAAAGGCTTTTGTCACATAGAGAAGAGTGAAAGCAAGGTCAACTTCACTAGTAGGCACTGATATCCCTCATGGTAGGTGTTCTGTGGGCTCGCTTTTTTGTGCCACAGTGAAGGACCCCATTCCTTCCTTGCTGAGAATAGATAAAGCTTGCAAGATTTCATTTGGTCCCCATGCATGAGCAGAAAAGAGAAAGACACTGAGACCCATAACGGGCAGGGACCTCCCTGATAAGGTGAAGAAGCTAAGATGGAGAAACTCAATTTCTGGCCTTTGTTACCGGAAGTGTTGTAGGCCACGGGTTCTGATGAGGTAGCCAGGTGGCAGGCACAGGAGCTGTGACAAACTGTTGTCCCAACAATATTCATTCATCAGATGTCTCATATCTAGCATATTTGAAGATCATGAACTGAAACGCAGACACAACTGGAGAACAAACAGTTTACAAAAGATGTCCAAATCTGACTGAAGAATATGAAATGGTACTCTTATTAGCTATTGAGGAAATGTGTGTTGACACTGCATTGGTATATGTTTAAAATTTTGCACCTTGACATGTAAATGTTGGCATAGTTGTTACAGATACAACAATTTTCAAGTAATGCTGGTGAGATTATAACTTGGAAAAACACTTTTGTAGAAATGTTTGACAGTATCTAGTAAAGCTGAACATAACATATGATTCAGCAGCTCTACACAGCAGAGATGTGTACATTTGTGCACCAAAAGACATATACAAGAATTTCATAGTGGCATGATTTATAGTAGTACAAAACTGTTCATCAGCAATAGAACGGATAAGTAAAATGTGGTATATAGTATGAGATTTACATCAGTGAAAATGAGTGAACTACTATTCTACTTGTAACATGGAAGAATAAATATCATGTTGAAGGAATAACCAGGCACCATAGTACATAATCATACAGTTCCAAAAGGGTGGTGATCTGACCCCTTATCTAATAGCTCTGTGGGAGAAAGACCTGGGAATCTGGTCCTGTAAAGCTTATAGTTTAGAAAACCCTACAGGGCACTTTTCTGTCATATGGGGATGCTTTGAGTCGAGAATGGACTCAACAGCACCTAACAACAACAGTATTCCATTTTATGGATATACCACACTTTATTCATTTACTTGTTGATGGATATTTGAGTTGTTTCTACTTTGAAATCTGTTACAAATAAAGCTACCTTGAACAAGTGTGTGAATATATTTTCATTTCTTCTAGGAATATCATCATAATATACTGCAAACTCTCTTCCCGAGAGTTTTGCATTCCCACTGTAAATATAAGAGGTTTAAGAAAATTGCCCAGTATACTTGAGCATGTAAATTTCAAAAAAAATTTTTACTCTTGTACATAGTCATACAGAATCAGTATTCAGTTTACATTAACCATTTTTTCTCCCGATTCACTTTATTGTAGGGAGGTGCGAAGAGACACATTCCCGTTGCTCCCCATATTGTTGGCTAGTTGAGATTCGGATGTTTAAATTTCTTAAATGGAACGTTACTGTACAGCAAGGTTAGGTAAACTTCCTCTCCAAAGGGTCAAATAGCAAATATTTTAGGCTTTGTGGGCCACATATAAAGCCCCTGTTGCATACATGTCTTTGTTTTTCTTCAACCCTTTATCATTCTTAACTCACCCCCCCCCAAAAAAAAAAAAAAAAAAGTTACACCTTTCAGAAACAGGCCATGGGCAGGATTTGACCTACAGGCAATAGTTTTCCTATCCCTGATTTATTACTATGAAAATCTACTCTCTGGCAGTAGGACACCTTGTGTAATATAAGATAGGTAGGAAATTATGACAGTTTGATTTCAGGTGTGAATGATTTTTTAATTGATTTACAAGTTAATTGGTTTGGAGGATATAGGTTGAAATGTGTACATTGAATATAAATGAATGAGAAGTAGACCCAAAACCATAATATTTATTAAATTTGAAATTATTAAAAGTACAGCTGTATTTCAGTTATCTATGGTACCTTTCTTTGCAGTCCATGTGACCGCCCTCGTGTGATTGAGTCTCTCAGAGGAATTGAAGTGGTCGATGTTGCTGCAGGTGGAGCCCACAGTGCATGCGTCACATCAGCTGGGGACCTTTACACATGGGGCAAAGGCCGATATGGTCGCTTGGGGCACAGTGACAGTGAAGACCAGCTGAAGCCAAAGTTGGTGAGCAAGCCTTGTGCTCAGAAAGCTAGAGCAGCCACCTTGGCCTTTAAAATTGGAGTAGTTTGTGTGTGTGGTAATGATGGTGGAGGTGGGAAATAGGGCTGGTCATTTTATTAAAATTTTAAAAGTTAAAAATACTTGTTGTTAACAAGGTATTATCTAACCTAATAACAGAAGTACAGACAGTAGAAGACAAAATAAATAGGACCTCATAAAAATTAAAAACTTTTGTTCATCAAAAGACTTTATCAAAAAAGCGAAAAGACAAGCTGCTCACTAGGAGAATATCTTTGGAAACCTTATGGCTGACAAGAATCAAATAGACAAAATATATATAAAATGTTGACAACAACAAAAAAGACAACCCAGTCATACAATGGGCAAAGGACTTGAATAGACATTTCCCCAATGAGAGCATTCAGATGGCTGCCAAATGCATCAAAATATGCTGTAGTCATTAGCCATGTTAGGTGCTATCAAGTCAGTTTTGACTCAAGTGACCCTGTGTATAACAGAACAAAACACTGCCAAGTCCCGCACCATCCTCACAATCGTTGGCATGTTTGAGTCCAACTTTTACAACCCATCTTGTTGAGAGACCTCCCCTTTTTTGCTGACCCTCTATCAAGCATGATATCCACCTTCAGGGATTGGTCCTTTCTGACACACACCAAAGTACAAGAGATGAAGCCTGGTCATTGTTGCTTCTAAGGAACATACCAGCTATACTTTATCCAACACAAATTTTTTCTTTATTCTAGCGGACTTTCAGTATTCTTCACCAACATGACAACTCAAACGCATCAGCTCTTCTGCATCTTCGTAATTCATTGTTCAGCTCTCACATGCATATGAGGCTCTTGAAAATAAAATACTGTGGATCAGGTGTACCTTTGTCTTCTAAGTGACATATTTGCTCTTTAATATTTTGAAGAGGTCTTAAGCAGCAGAGTTACCTACCCAGTGGAATATGTCATTTGATTTCTTGACTGCTGATTCCATGGATGGTATTATAAAACCAAGTAAAATGAAATCCTTAGCAACTTCAGTATTTTCTCCATTTATCATGATGTTACTTATTGGTCTGCCTGTGAGGATTTTTTTTTCCTTTGTATTGAGGTACAATTCATACTGAATGCTAAAGTCTCTGATCTTCATCAGAATGTACTTCAAGTCTTCTTCACTTTCAGCAGGCAAAAGTTATGTCTTCAGCATAACACAGGTTGTTAATGAGTCTTCCTCCAACTCTGATGCCATGTTCTTTATCATACAGTCCAACTTCTCAGATTATTTACTCAGTATACAGATTGAAGAAATATGGTGAAAGAATACAACCCTGACACATACCCTTCTTGATTTTAAAACATATAGTATCCTCTTGTTCTGTTTGAACAGCATCCTCTTGGCCTATGTACAAGTTCCTTATGAGCACAATTAAGTGATCTGGAATTCCCATTCTTCACTGTGTTACCCATATTTGTTGTGATCCACACAGTTGAATGCCTTTCTGTAGTCAGTGAAACACAGATAAGCACCTTTCTGGTATGCTTTGCTTTCAGCCAAGATCCATCTGGCATCAGCAGTGATATACATAGCGTAGTGCCTAAGGCACATGACTGCTCTGCGGTTCAAACCCACCAGCCACTCCTCAGAAGGAAGATGGGGCAATCTACTTCCATAATGATACTGCCTCAGAAATCTAAGGGAGGGGGTGCTATGAGTCGGGTCCAGCTCGAGGGCACATAGCAACAACAACGTCCTCTTCTGAATCAGCTTGAATTTCTGACAGTTCCCTGTCAGTATATTTCTGCAACTCTTTTTGAATTATCTTCAGCAAAATATTACTTGCATATGATATTAATATATTTCGATCATTTCTGCATTGTGTTGGATCACTTTTCCTTGGTATGGGCTCAACTACAGCTCTCTTCCAGTCGGTTGGACAATTAGCTGTCTTCCATATTTCTTGGCTTAAATGAAGGAGCACTTCCAGTGCTGCATCCATTTGTTGACACATCTCAATGGGTATTGCATCATTTCTTGGAGCCTTGTTTTTCACTGGTTCCTTCAATGCAGCTCTATTCTGAGGAGGCAGCTCTTTCCTAGTCATATTTTGAGTGCCTTCCAACCTGAGGGGCTCGTCTTCCAGCATTATAATGGACAGTGTTTCAGTGTTATTCATAAAGTTTTCCAGTAATACATAAGACATTATTTCCCTGCTGTTTATAAGGTTTTCACTGGCCAATTCTTTGAGAAGTGGATGATCTCTTCCTTCTTCTGAGTCTGTCTTCCTCTGGAAGCTCCGCTTATACCTATTCACCATGGTTAACCCTGCTGGCATTTGAAACACAGTGGCATAGCCTCTAGCCTCACAACAACATGCAAACCAAATATATCCCCAATTATATCCCCTGAAATCTTCTTAAAACCAAACAGTAGTTTAGTTTAACTAGTGAAAAAATATCTTCTTGAGCATTCTTCTCTTTTAAGCACTATGTATATGGGATCACATTGAGGGGATTACATTGAGAACAACAACTTGAAAGATTAGATAGGAACCTTAGTGGGCAATGAATTCAAGTTAATGGGGGGGAGGAACAACACAGAAAAGAAGGGTGAGAATGGTTGCGTAACTGGAAGAATGTAACCAATGTCAATAAATGGTACATGTTAAAACTGTTGAATTGCTGTATGTTTATAACATATTTTCAACAACAACAAAAGCTTTTTTGGTTTAAAGTTGATAGTCATAGCCTCATTATTTATAAGTAGGTTTGATTTTTGGTGGAAATAAATACCATGATTTCTATAGCTCATTTAAGTAGAAAAGTATTTTAAATATCACTTTATTTATAAAACTAAATATTATTTGGCATTGAGCTTAATACTTTGGTTTCTAGAAGGCCAACTCTGTTTTGGGTCAGATTGAAATAAGTAAGTCAACTTTCATAGTGTTTTATGATTGGTTCATGGAGGACGGTGATGCCTCTCTCAGTTTTGATGAGTATAGCTATAGTAGAGGAAAGCATTTTCTGTTTTATCTTACAGGATTTTAATTTACCTGTTTTCTTTATAAAGGCTTAAAATAAACATCCTAATATAGAGAGTTATAGAATGTTTTATCCTTTCCCTTGGTAAACAGCCACCTTCTCTCTGTTGTGGCTGATAACCAGGATGTTCCTCTTCTCTGCAGGTGGAAGCCCTCCAGGGCCACCACGTGGTGGACATTGCTTGTGGCAGTGGCGACGCCCAGACCCTTTGCCTCACTGATGATGACACTGTTTGGTCGTGGGGGGATGGGGACTATGGCAAGCTTGGCCGAGGAGGCAGCGATGGCTGTAAAATGCCAATGAAGGTATTTTCAATTTGCAGGCCAGAAGGTGGCTGGACCTTTCTGGAGTTCTCTAGCGCTCTAGCAAGTAAGCATCACCTTGGCTTCTCACTGTGCCCAGGTGTTTTCATAGATGCCCCACTCCCACCTCCTACCTCCCACCTCCGGTATATTGAAGAGGACCTTGTCCTCTCTGCAAGCTTTTAAAATTTATCTTAACTCTATCTTTACTGTCTTTGTAGAAAATGTAATCAGTGATTGCATAAAAAGTGAATGAGGAACTTGTAGACACTAAGATATTTAAGTGGTATTTATTCTCTATTGAGGAATTTATGTGATCTGAAGGCTGTGGTTCTGTTTAGTATGTGGGCCTGTTTGGGGAAAAAAATAACAAATCGTTGATCACTCTTGTCAATTTACGGTGGAATACACATACCATGTTACAAAGTTATGGAATGTGGCAGTACTTGCTAACAGGATTACATCTGGATTAGGAGGAGACTATCTTGTGGAGATCATGTGAGCAGCCAAGAGAGGGGAATGAAAGTTTGCCTGGGCATGTAGTAGACCTGGACTTGCATTCAGCTTTGTGCTGTTTGACTTGGGAAAAGTTTCTTAACTTATACGAGACTGCTTTTTGTTGTTGTAAAATGGGAAGAATCATACTGTCTTCAGAGGATTAAGTTAGTTGATGGGTTTAAATAACTTAATGCTCAGTACCTTCAGTAAGTGAACACTAAATAGTTGCTTAGGTGTTATTCTTTGACATGGACTTGGGAGTGTGGTTGGCATGAGGAAAAAAAGCACAGTCTCTCCACAGTCCCTTCTCTGTTAGGGTTGTTGTTGTTATTAGGTGCCATGAAGTCATTTCCAACTCACAGTGACCCTATATGACAAAATAGAACTTCCGCATATAGTTTTCTTAGCTGTACCTTTACATCAACAGATCACCAGGTCTTTCTTCCATGGAGGCTCTAGGTGGATTTGAACCATTTCCGTTAGCAGCCAAGTCCTTAGCCGTTTGGACTACCAGGACTCCTCCTTTTTTGGAGTTAAAGGACTGCAAATACCATAAGAGAAAAGACATGGCACATGTTTAGGCACTTCTGGACCTAGCATCTGCTCTGAGCATGTCTCTGCATGGCAAAGCCATCGCAGATTAAGTAGTGGTACCTGAGCCTCTATAACTTTTATTCCTAGATTGAGTCACCCAACATGGTAGCCACTAGGCACATGTGGCTACTTAAATTTAAATTGCACAAAACTAAAATTAAGTTCCTCAGCCATACTAGCCAAATTTCCAGTGTTTAGTGGCTAATGTGGCTTATGGCAACTCTGTTGGCTAGTGAAGATGCAGAACATCCCATCACTGCAGAGTGGTTTTGGCAGGCACTGCCTGGGGCCAAAGCCTGCTAGAGAAAACCTGGCTCCAGATCATACTGCATTTCCCTGTGCTACTTGTGGCTGTACTGTGAGGAGGCACCCTCCTTCCCACAGTTGCCCTTCTGGCACCTGCTGTTAAACTAGGGACTCAGGCTGCCTTCTTTGTTCTTATCACCTCTTGTTCTTTTCACATTGCACACGTATGGCATTTTACCCACATCTGGACTACAAAGGGTCTTTGCATTTTAAATATTGTTGGTTGTAGGTCCTGTTATACTACAGAAGACTTTATATAAAGGCATTGCACTTTCAAGGCTTAGGATGGTTGGCATTGGGAAGTTATAGAGGGCATCAGTAATGTACTCATGGGAGGGTAGAGATGAGTGGAGAAATAAATTTTAGTTCATTTAAACTTAAATTTATAGATGAGAAATTAAGTCTGAGAAGAATCACAGAGGTGACTAGGAGTATGTGTGCTACATCAAGAGAATGATGGTTGGGTAGAATGGGCCCCAGCTAAGACCCTGATGTTGGACTTGAAGGGCCTATACTTATAAACAAGCAGGTGAATCTGGACAGATGAGCAGGGGGCATCTGGGAGGCCAGACCCTAGTTGCTCTAACCTGAGAGAGGACTAGAAGAAGGATGAGTAGAAGATACTAATGCTAGAAAACAGTGCTGTCAATTTTCAAGAGAAATGATTGCAAACCTACAACAGTGAAATGTCACATTTCCAGTGACGTGTGCTGGGTCACACTGCAGACCCTTGGTGGAGTGTCAACATGATTTGCTGTAATTGAGGCTAATTGAGTCTCTCTTCTTCTAGATTGACTCACTCACAGGTCTTGGTGTGGTCAGAGTGGAATGTGGATCCCAGTTCTCTGTCGCACTTACCAAGTCGGGAGTGGTTTACACTTGGTATGAAAGATTTTGTTCCTTTCTTCCTACCAGAAACAGATTATTACTTTGAAGTTCTTTTAGCTACATTTTAATAGACTGAACCACAACTTTTATGGCAGGCTGTGATTTATGGATTATAGAACAGTGACTGCATGAAGAAGGTAGGCAGGGTCATAAACAGAGTGACCTTGTGCTTCTGAGTGCCTTGTCTCTTCTGTGTGTTAGGGGCAAAGGAGATTACCACAGGCTGGGCCATGGATCCGACGACCATGTTAGAAGACCTCGGCAAGTCCAAGGGCTGCAGGGAAAGAAAGTCATTGCCATTGCTACTGGCTCCCTGCACTGCGTGTGCTGCACAGAGGACGGTAGGTGAAGGGTCTAGTGTCCCAGAGCAAGCACTACATTTTAGGTGGGAGAGCACTGCTCAAAGAATAGTGTGTACTGCTACAAAAAGAATGAGATTTTGTGTGATAAGTTATGAGAGTCCATCTGTAGTAGGTAGAGTTTTGGCCCCAGTGATCCTCACCCCTCATTCACAGGTGTTATTCCTGTGAATGTTACATTATATGGCTATACAGAAAAGAATACTTCCTTGCTGTCATTAGGAAGGCCTCCTGTAAGGTGGCCTCTGTTAACTTGGGTCTCAAGAGGGTTCCCCTCTCTTTCTAACTGATAATGATTGGTCACAGTGCCTAAACTGTACAAAATTGTGGCACAATTTCAGCATCAAAATAAATAACAAATCAAAATAAATAAATAACAATTCAAAATAAATAAATAACACCTGCTTTTCTCCTAGAATTTTGGTATGTCCAAGGCAGAGTGTGCCTGTGAGGCCAGCCCCAGTAAAAACCCTGGTTGCTCAGTCTCTGATGATTTTCCCTGCTAGACAACACTTTACACAAGTTTTCACAACTTGTTAGGATAATTAAGCACACCCTTTGTGACTCTACTGGGAGAGGACTCTGGAAGCTTTTACCTGGTTTTCCCTGACTTCACCCCAAACGCCTTTCTCCTTTGCTGATTTTGCTTTGAATCGTTTCTCTGTAATCATACCTGTAAGTATGAACATATGCTGAGTTCTATGATTCCTCCTAGTGAATCATCAAAATTGAGATGATCCTACCTTTCCCCAACACAATGTCAAAGAGGATTTTGCTGATGAGATTAAGGTTGCTAATCAGCTGACCTTAGACTAGGGATATTGTCCTGGATTATCAGAGTGGACCCAGTGTTACCACATGAACCCTTCAAAGCAGAAAAGGTAGGCAAGAGAGTCAGTCAGTGAGATGCATCTGAAGAAGAGGCAGGGGACATTACCCTGATCTTGTCTTCTAAATACTGTTCTTTTCTGAAGATACCAAGTACCTTTGGAAAATAGCCATTTCTAGGCTTGGTACAGAGAAAGAACAAGATGAGCATAACACACTTTGTTGTGCCGTAATACAAACAGGTGTTCATAGAGTGATAGGGCCATGTCACAGAGACCAAAAAAAACTAAACTCAGAAGTCAGCCAAATTGGGCACAATTTCAGCATCAAAATAAATAATAAATAGTAGTTACAGATTATAGCCTGTTGAATAAATCGGGGAACCATGATTTCCACACACATAAAAACAAAAGTTTGATAAGAAGAGAGATATTTAAATAGTTTTAGATGCTTCCACACAAAATACTTAATTCATTACGAAGGGAAATAAGATGTGGACAGTAGAGAAACCTGGCAGACGCCACCTTCATCAGGTGATCAAAGTGATCACCATCAGTAACAGACAAAGAAGAATTGGATGTCACCTTACTAGAAAGAGACGTTTCGGCCATCAGAGGCTGTCAAGAGTCCCAGGAAGGATACTCACCCCTTGGGTGTTGTGATTAGAATGTTTCCACATCTAGGTCACCCACAGAGTTGACATTCAGATGGTTGAACTCTAACATCAACTTGAAGGGCAGAGAATGATGATTGTGATGGGAAGACTGATGATTGTGTATTCATTGATCCTACTGGACTAAACTTACACCATCCAAGTTCATGTTTTAAACTCACTTTGTCTAGGTGAAGTTTATACATGGGGTGACAATGATGAGGGACAGCTGGGTGATGGGACCACAAACGCCATCCAGAGGCCACGGTTGGTAGCTGCTCTCCAAGGCAAGAAGGTCAACCGCGTGGCCTGTGGTTCAGCACACACTCTTGCCTGGTCAACCAGCAAGCCTGCCAGCGCTGGAAAACTCCCTGCACAGGTAGGTTCTAACTCACCCAGGCGTCTGGGCAGGATGCTTGTGCAAGCCTGAGCATGTGTCTAAGCTCTGAAAGTTGTTTTAGTTATAGTCTTTATAGAGCTTTTTGTTATAAGTTGTAACAAAGTACTGTCTGTATATTGAATCGTACATAACATGCAGACTTCGTTATTCCATTACTTATTTACAGAGGTGTTCTACTGAAAACAATTCAGGCTCATAATGCTAAAACATAATGATTTTAAGAATCTTAATATTTGCCACACAACATCCTGTGTACATCAGTGGGTCTGCCTTCTATTCTAAATCTTGTAAGTTACACAGAACTATTCTAGAAGTACATACTTTACATGGTCCTTAGTAATATATTTCTGAAGGCTAAATTTTTTACCTTTCTCCTTGGTTCTAGATTACATGGTTTAAGTAGTTAAACTGGCTAAATATTATTCGAAAAACAATGTGGTGAGGTTTTTAAAGTAACCCAAATAGGAAATGTAGTGCTTCTCTGCTTGGGGTGAGGGCAGGTGGGATTCAGTATCCATTTACAAGTTGTGGTTTATCTCTGCATTTGACACCTAACTTGACACATACAATTTGCATCTTTCAGGTCCCTATGGAGTATAATCACTTGCAAGAAATCCCAATAATAGCACTGCGGAACCGGCTGCTGCTGCTGCACCATATCTCAGAGCTTTTCTGTCCTTGTATCCCCATGTTTGACCTTGACAGGTGTCTCCATGAAACTGGGCTTGGACCTTCAGTTGGATTTGACACACTGCGAGGAATTCTGATATCCCAGGGAAAGGTACTCATTATAGCAATCTTTGCTGTATGTGATACTGGTATCTTCAGTAGATACAAGTCAAAAATTCCTAAGCTAGAAATACATAGAATACATATAATTCATCCAGTAAATGTTTACTGAGCACCTCTTGTGCCAGTACTTGTTCTGTGTACTTAGACTATCTCAGGAGAAAGTAAACAAACAAAAATCTCTTATCTCTTGGACCTTATATTTAAAAATAATGTGCTGCTGCATTTTTCTCTATAGTCTCTGTCTTCTGGCCCCAAAAGAAGGGCATAAAACTAAGCCTCTGTTCACGCATTCATTCTCTGCTTTCCTGGCCTTAAAGCATTAAGGAAGAAAAAAATTAAATCATTTCTTTTCCTAAGGATGTTCAGCAGGGAGTGCCAGATGCTGCATGTTTCTCAGATAGACACCTGTACCAAGATATGTAAAACAGAGCTGCTTATCTGAATGACTGGGCAATCTACTTCCATAGAGGTACCATCTCAGAAACCCAAGGAGGGGTCACTATGAGTCAGAATCAACTCGATGGCAGTGAGTTTGGTGGATTTTTGTTTTTCAGTTGAATGACAGCTTAGCTAATGGTGAGTAGAGGGAGACATTTACAAAGCTGTCGCATGAGTGAATGAGGGTATCCAAAAGTTACCAGACAGATTTTCACACATTAAAGTTTTAAATAATTAGAGCTTTCTAGAAATGGGATCCCCTGACTTAAGAGTTTCCCTTTACTAGAAGTCATCAGGTTTCTGGCAGTCAGCTTGACAGGGTGTTCTAGAAAAGGCTCAGTTATTGTATAGTAGAAGTAGTGTTTGTGTAGGGAAAAAAACTGAGGAAGTTGGACTGAGGAATACTCTAATCCTAAAGAGTCTATGATTCTGTGACATTGCATCATCAAAGATTTATAATTAATCTAGCTTCCCTGTGTCTGTTAACCCTCTCATCTTTGCTTTAGGGTAAATGTTGAATGATTGCTCTCATGTAGATGATTTTTTAAAGGAACACAGTGCTAACGGTTGATAGTATTTATTTCATGAGGCTGTCTGATATTTATCTGAAAGGTGACCTCCAGGTGTGATTTCAGTGTAAAGTTTAAAAGGTGTCTCGGGGCAGTAGTCTTAGAGGTTCCTCTAGTCTCTACTGCTCTGGCAAGTCTGGCCTTTTTTAAAAATATATATATTTATTTATTTATTTATTTATTTTTATTTGGGTGAAGATTTACAGAGCAAATTCACTTTCCATACAGCAGTTCACA